CAGAGTCCCAGCAATAGCTGCAAACCTCGGAGAGAAAGCTGCCTTCGTGTTCGGACCGAAGCCAGACAGTCCCGTTTCTCCCGTTTGAGTCTGGGTCCCTAGGGACTTGCCCGGCTCTGGAGCAGAGTGTCTGCGACTCCCTCCCGATTGAAAACAACAACTGCGCCCTCCGCCACCAGCCCGCTCCGAGCACTCTGCACCTCAGAATTTGACTTCAGCACTGCGCCTCCTCTGAGTGTCCGTATGCGTTACTCTTTCCTCCTAGTTGTAGGACTTCCACTCAACCAGCATTCCTGTGGTTCTGGATGATGTCCGTTCCGTCTTTGAGTTTCACTTTTGAATCCCGATTGAAAACAACAACTGCGCCCTCCGCCACCAGCCCGCTCCGAGCACTCTGCACCTCAGAATTTGACTTCAGCACTGCGCCTCCTCTGAGTGTCCGTATGCGTTACTCTTTCCTCCTAGTTGTAGGACTTCCACTCAACCAGCATTCCTGTGGTTCTGGATGATGTCCGTTCCGTCTTTTAGTTTCACTTTTGAAGTGGTTGTTCGAGGCAGCAAACTCGGGCGTTAACCTATGCCGCCATCTTGGTTCTCCAAATAAGTGAAGTCTACCTATTTTTTTTTTTATCATCATTCACTATGGCATCTCACACCCTTCACCTGAGACAATAGTTGCCTGAAGTATTCCCTTTAGTAGAGGCATTTCTTAGAATGTGAAATACTTTTCCCTGTTTGAAAACCTTGTGTTGTGCAAAACTATACACTGAAAATAGAAAGGCTCATGGGAAAACAGAGTTGGCCAGACCACTCTAAACTCAAAACTTGTGACCAAAGCAGTGACAAAAATAATAACCATCCTGAAAAAAAAGTGCCAACACAGTTAAATCTCCACTGACACGTGTCTCTTCCTCCTTCAGTCTCTCTTTGCCGACTATAACCCTGGAACCACACTTCCTATTTCAAGATGGAGAATCTTGAGGGCTTTGCCTTAAATAAAGAGGAATTCCATCTAAATCTGCAGTCTTCTCCATCAATCAAATGTTGTAATGTTTGGTTTTATTAACTGAGTGAAAAGTGTTGGCAGCTTCTTCATCTGTACTGTCAGCTTCGTCACTAACAAATGGTTTCATTAGGCAGCTTAACGTAGAAAGTTAATGGTCTTATGAAGTTCCTACACCAGCAACCAACTGCCTGAAAAGAAGGCACTTCCACAGAGAGCTCAGCTTTTTAAAAGGTCCTTATATTAGCAAGGCTTTAATCTTTTTTAAAAAAACTTTAAAAATATTTTTGTTGATTTCAGAGAGGAAAGGAGAGGGAGAGAGAGATACAAACATCAATGATGAAAAAGAATCATTGATTTGCTGCCTCCTCCCCACCCCCTACTGGGGATCAAGCCCACAACCTGGACATGTGCCATTGACTGGATTTAAGTCTGGGACCCTTCAGTCTGCAGGCTGATGCTCTAGCCACTGAGCCAAACCTGCTAGGGCAAGGTCTTAATCTTTAATTGTAAAAAAGCATATACCAGATTTCTTTTTGTTTGTTTTCAATTCACTTCTATTGCTTGATGAGGCAAAGTATTAATGTGCCAGGAAAAATTATGTACAAAAATGTAAATTTCATATTACACTGACATGATTCCCTATTTACCATTTCAAATGAGCTGAGTAGTACAGAAACACTTGGCAGTGAAGTATGCTATGTTTCTCATTAGGATCTGTTTGTAGTCCATTCTGTTCTATTTGTCTAGAATTACCTTCATTTTTATTTTTAATAGATAGTTGTTCTGGGTATACAATCCTAGGTTGAGACTTTCTCAGTTCCTTGAAAATATTATTACTGTTTTCTGGCTTTTGCTGTTGTTAATTTCATTTTAAGTTTAATTGCAGTTCTTTTAGGGAATTTTTCTTTGGCTGTTTTTAATTATGTTATGTTTAGGATGGACTCCTTTTGGTTTGTTTAGTTTTTGGTGTTCATCAATTTTGGAAAATTCTGTCTTCATTTCTTCAAGTATTTCTTCACCATTCTTCCTATTCTCCTTTTCTGGAACTATGACTGGATAGTTACACATATGTTGCTAACCCTCATTTTCATATTATCTATTTTTGTCTGTGTGTACTACATTCTCGATAATCTCTTCAGACCTATTTGCTAGTTTATCAACTCCCCTTTTATTACTTTGTTGCCTAATCTAGCTACTAAGTTTTCTATTTCAATTACTATACCCTATCCTTCATTTCTAGAAATTCAATTTGTTTCTTAATAGAATATCTTTGTTCATTTTAAAAATAGTTACTTACTTTGCACTCATAATTATCATCTCAACTTCTTTATAGATGCCAAAAATATTTTATATTAAATTTTCATATAATGCAAAATTTTGAAATCTGTTTCCTTATTCACGTTGTGATATTTTTTAGTTTGTTTTGCAATAGTAACCACTTCCTTGGAACTTTATCTTTGAGAGTTGTTGGAGCCTCAGGTTGAATGTGAGCTTTGCCAGATAGGCTCTGAATTTGCTTCTGTCATGCACTCAGAAGCTAATAATTCAGGACCACTTTTAGACATATTTTCAGCTTGATTTTCTTCACTGACTTTGGAACACAAATCAGCATGAAGTTACACATTTTTAGTGGATATTCTCCCACAGATAGGTTTAGCTGCTGGCCCCATCTTTAGGGCAGGCTTACCTCAAATTCACCATGACACTGGGTTCCAGCTGTATATGGGTAAGGGAGAATGATTTCTCCTATTACACATCTCCCAACTTAGGCTCTAGTGTAGCCTCTTATACTCTTAGTTCTTAAAATAAATCTCAAGTTCATTGGTGTTTTTCAGAAGCCTTCAGGGTGAAAGCTAAATTGAGGGCTTATTTCTCTCTCTTATACTTTGGTTCGGTGTCCTGATGATTTCCTGTTTCCTTGATAGATAAAAAATACATTAAAAAAGACTTAAAAAATTTTTTTTCAGATGTTTTCATTGGTAAAAGTAAAATTGTTCATTGAGTCTTATCTACCATATTGCCAGAGATCGAATCCAACATTCCATTTTTTAAACCCTCATGGAATTGTTCCAGATACTAAGCTTATGATGCTATTACAGTTAAATAACTAAGAGGCCTTTGGTATCTTCCAACAGCTATAGGGGCTGAAATTTCTATGCAGTATTAGAGGTGTAATGGGGAAGCAGAATTGCCAGCTACTAAATTTTACTTTCTCACAGCATAAATCCATTTTTTTAATACTAAATTCAGCCAGGTAGAATTAGGAGTTTTCTATTTTAATGGAACTTTATTATCTCATAATGAGATCTGGTTATTCACTTATTGATGAGAACAAATAATTAGTGTTAATAAGTATATATTGGCAATATACTTGGCCAATAAATACACATTGATAATATAAATTATATATTGATGGAAATAAACACCGTGTTAATAATTTTAAATTTTTTCCCTACTTTAAGGCCACTTTTTTAAACCTTGAATTTTCTTTTCATTCCCCATATTCAAAATGCAGTTCTAAATACATAGCAAATGTACATTTATAAGATTTCCATAAATCACATTTAATTCAGTTAGTAATTTACTTCTCATTTATGATTTTGGTAATTTACATATTCACATGTAACATTTACTTCTTAAGAAGAATACTTATTTATTCTGAATGGGCACAGGAAGTAGTATAGGAAAAAAGCAGTCTGGTAAGCCTTAGAAATAGAAGTACAGGAACAAGTAAAGAGGTATTTATATACTGAGTCACATTTCTCTGGCACCTGGATGGACAATGACTATAGAATTTTTTAAAAATTAGTCTCAAAATCACATCACTAATTTATACCCCATCTTTATCTGTTTTACTGTGAATGTTTTAACTAGAAATGTGCCATAACTTAATGGTGCAAGTTAAAAAAAAATATAAAGGACAGAAAAGGTGTTAAATTATCTGTAGCCATATTGACTATATGGCTATATTTTGGAATATGTTTTTTTCTATGTTTTTTAAATGAAGTTTGAGGTTTCTTTTTCTCATGGTAGTTTAGAAACAGACCTAATTTCATTGAAAACATGTCTAGGCCCTAAAGTATACCTAATGTATTATACTTGGCGTCCATTGCCCCAGTTGAGAATGATAAAAATGTCGTTCAGAGCTCCCAAATGAAATACAACTACAAAGAAGTGAGTCTGATTTTTCAATAAACATAATTTCTAGATCAAATGTGTTACATTTTTCAACATGTTTTCTTTGGGAGGCAACATATATATTTTGATGATGCTGTCATTCCTCAATACAATTTGTGGAATTGTTTTTAAATTTGCCTTTACAGGCAATTTTCAAACCCCTCCCCCCTTTTCCTATTATACTACACATCCTCCAATATGCATAGCACACACATAAACACAAACGCATGCACTTCCTTTCTTGAAGAAAACCCAGCATTACTCAGTTTGAACATCCACTTATTCATCAAATTGGTATCAGAATAATGTCTGGCTGCCTCCAAAAACCAAATCCATGCCTAAAAGACAAATAGATCTCAACCCTAACAATGTTTAAAACCATGTTGAAATAAATTCCCCAAAGAAAAAATCCCCCAAATATTTTAAGTAATAACACCTTTATTGGAATAAGTTGAATTGCAAACCAAGACCTTTACTTATAAAATGACACGATTCATTTGGAAGTATAAACTGAACTGTGTTCCCTCGAACATTGGTTGCATTAACTCACAGTAATAACAACCAACACTTAAGTAGTGCTTTTCTGTTTACAAGCTATTTCTCAATCACTTTTCTTATTGGAGCCCTAACATAATCCTGTGAAATAACTCAGATACAGAAAAGGAAAAGGCCCTCGATCCCTGCTCTTGGCCTCTTCCAGGCATCTGGAATGGTGATGACCACAGTGCTCTTGGAAGCCTAGTGTGAAACATGGTGGAGCCCTTCAGCCTGGGCCCCTGAATGACCGTGTGGAGGAGAGCAACTTACCATTGTTAATTTTTCACCTAGTAGTTTTTTTGTGAGAGAGAAGTAACTTCTTTTTGTCCTTTAAACCATATTATTTAGAATCTCCCATTATATAACAACTTTGTATTTTACCCTCTGTTTCTGAATTCATCCTTACCATTCACATACCATTTGTTATTACTTTAGCCAGTAAGCCATGTGGAGGGCAAGCAAATGTTTGCCTTAGTCTTTGCAAATGATTTGATTCGGTTGATGTTTCTTGTAGTCTTTTTCCACTGCTGGTCACACCACCACTTCCTTCAGTTGATTCACTTTCATCTAATCCTATTTGGTTTGTAACAGGTTCCTCCTGTGTTTAAAGAAATTTTTAGAAAAAAATTCTTAAAACTGTATATTTGTTATACATTTTTTTTAAGTTACTGAGCCATCACATCACAAATCAAACTCCCATTGTTAGAATCAAGGCTAGTACTGGGAAATGGATGGCTTTATTATTAATCAGCTAATAGTTGGAACAAGAACTATATTGGGTATATTTGCCATTGAGTCATTATTTGTCTCATTATAAATGTTTGAGTCACATAAAATGTCATTATGTTTTACAATCCTGGGTTTAAAAGTGAGCCTATTTCAGATATGATTCAAGCCCTGGCTCGGTGGCTCTGTTGGTTGGAGAGTTGTCTCATACACCAAAGGTTGCCGGTTCGCTTCCTGATCAGGGCACGTACCTAGGTTGTGGGTGCATCCCTGGTCAAGGTGCGTATGGGAGGCAACCATCATGCTTCTCTCTCCCATGATGTTTCTCTTTCTCTTTCTCTCTCCCTGCTTCTTTCTCTAAAACGTCAATAAAACATATCCTCAGGTGAGGATGAAAAACAAACAAACAAAAAGATATGATTTAAGGCAATAGTTGGTAAATATTTAAAAGTAATCCAGAAGAAGATAACTATCTTTGGTGAAAATCAATTCTCATTTACTCATCTGCTTGAATTTAAGCAACAAAAAATTACTAGATATAGTAAGGGTTTGGCTGGGAACATAAAGAATTTCACAGGCTCTTTATTTTTCTAGCCTTATGTTGGGCCAGCTGCTAATGACTATCTGGGAAAACTGGTAGTCACACCTACCCTGGACTGTATGAGTTTGGGGATTAAGAACAGGAATAATTACCCAGATGGTGTGGCTCAGTGTTTGAGCTTCAACCTATAAATCAGGAGGTCACAGTTTGATTCCCAATCAGGGCACATGCCGGGGTTGTGGGCTGGATCCCTAGTAGGGGGCATGCAGGAGATAGCCAATCAATGATTCTCTCTCATCATTGATGTTTCTATCTTTCTCTCCCTCTCCCTTCCTCCTGAAATCAATAAAAACATAATAAAAAATTAAAGAACAGGGAGAATTGTTAACTGAGTGATATAATGAAAAGAAAACAATTCTATCATAGATTTGGAAACATATAGTCCTTTCCTTAAGGAAATAGTTGGGATGAATGTCATGTGATTGCAAACTTACCTGTGTTTGTTGATATGCAGAGGCTGTGTGATTCACCCAGGTGGATGGTTCCAAATTTTCATGTTTAACTGTTTTATCCTCATCCCCCATGATTTATAATTAAGAATAAGATGACAGAAGGGCAACAAACAGGATCTGTTCTGAAGGAGAAACAGGATAGATAGAGAATGGCAATCTGAGATTTATTTATTTATTTTCCCTATTTTGGCAATCTGAGATTTAAACAAATAAATTAAACAGCAATTTGAGCAATTTAAACTAATGACTTGTACTTATTTTTTTCCCTTAGAGCTCTGAACGTCTAAAATATTTTAAATTAGACTATTCTTAGTTTTCAATCGTTAAGCTTTTCTTTGATTACAATATCTTATTCTAATTCTTATCTTTTTACCACTCTTGAAAAAGCCCTTGTTGACCATCATACTTTTCTATGGTTTCTTTCCACCTTGTTTTTGTGATTTATACTTCAAATATTCCAAGTAATACCTACCTTCAATTGTCTTCTCTGCTTCGACGAAGCAGAAAAACCACCAGGTAATTTTCCAACGTTGCTATGAGGAAATGGCTCACCAGAGAGAAATCTATGGATTCCATCATTTTCAGAGAAACTAGTGTCACTAATTCTTGCATGGTTGTTATTTCTAAATTAAAGTTAAAAAAAAACAAACCCACCACCAACAACATTGATTTGAGTAGCCACAATGTCTTAGATATTGTAATAAGTGCTATGGTAGTCACTTGCCCATTAGTGTGGGCAATTCAGATATGAAAACATATTCTTTGTTCTCCATAGGTTCACAGTATCCCAGAAAAAATAAACTGACACAAAATAACTAAAAAACCTGTAAGGCAGACCTCCATAAGCACCCACTTCAGTCCCTTCTCCCCAGACTTTCTACGCTGTGTAGTCTGAGAGCCAAGTACTCCATTTCTTAGCCACTTGGCAGCTAGAGGTGGCCACGGGTCACAGTTCTTTGTCATGAGATATAAGTGGGCGTCTTTCGGGGGAATTTCATTCCCAAACAATGTGGCAAGGCTTTCCAGGATCATAATGCTTACTCTACCCTCTAATAGTTCCCTTTCTTCTTCCTAGAATGTAGGTACACAAGCTAGAGGGCCAGCACCCATCTTTCAACCATGAGATTAAAAGGTCCTATACCACAGATAGTACATAAGTAAAACAGGAGGAGCTGGTTCCTGGGTGACATCCTTGAGTTGCTACATCGGTCTTGGGCTGCCAAGCTTTGAGGAAATTGTTTATACCACTATTAGAGGTCTGCTGGCTCTGGACTTGGACAAACCCGGGCCTGAAGTTCAGTTCTATCATCCACCAAATTGTAACTAATTCCTCTTCTATACAATGGAGGCTAGAGTTGTTCCAACCATACATATGGGAAGTATTCAATAGTGTTGGTTGTTAGCCACTCATATGCCTTCTTTCTAATAATCGTAATTCTCTAAGAATCTTTTGGCTTTTCCTATTAAGCATGACAAGGTATCACCAGTCTTGAAGAATTTACTACTCAATCCCATTGATTTTCTTTATCATGCTTGTTACCTCTTTCTTTCAAGGCTGACTTCTTTTTTTAAAAAAAAAATATTTTTATTGATTTTTTACAGAGAGGAAGGGAGAGGGATAGAGAGTTAGAAACATCGATGAGAGAGAAACATCGACCAGCTGCCTCCTGCACACCTCCCACTGGGGATGTGCCCGCAACCAAGGTACATGCCCTTGACCAGAATCGAACCTGGGACCATTCAGTCCACAGGCCGATGCTCTATCCACCGAGCCAAACTGGTTTTGGCCCAAGGCTGACTTCTTGATTAGATGGATATAATAACACTCACCACTGTCATTTCTTCACCTCATTAGAAGAATTACATAGACACTCTGGAGCAGTGTCACTAGAATAACCTCCTTTATGAAATTCCCCAAATCAGCCAATTCCACCACTTATGAAGAATGTTTTAAAATAGCCAACAAGTACAAATGATTATTTACAGTAGATATAAACTACTGGCTAAAATGAAGCTTTAAAATTTTTATTTTATTAATATTGTGGTTCTTTTTAACATAATCAAAACTTGGAATGTTGCACAGTATATGCTATCTGTGGGTGTTAACACAGTTTTGTGTTCTAAAAATTATTTTTTTCTGTCTCCCTATACTCTCCACCATAGAAGCCAAAGTACTTATTTGAGATCAGAGAGGTATTGCAGGGAGGAAGGTAAAATAAAGTACCAGTATTCTAATAAGTCCAGGAAAGCAACTTCTGACTAATTGGTCAGCTCTTTTTATTTTGTTATGGTTCCATTTTCGAAAGAACACATACCACCAGTCTCACTTCAGAAAACCACTTAAATTTAGAAAAATTACAAAATTGTATCCTTTACTTAAAGCAACCATGTCCATGGCATTTACTGTTCATAGTCCTTGGTTCTTGAAATTACAATGGTATATGCTCTATTAAGAAGGCAGTTTTGCAAATAAATAAATAAATATCAGAAAATATGCAAAAATGCCCTTTAAAGGGTCATAAGAAATATCATGAAATCCATTAAGAAGTAAAAAGTGTATACTCCTTACTCATAGAGAGACACTTGAGGCCTCACCTCTGAGCCCATTCACTCTTACTTTGAAAACAATTCAAATGACTTTGCCCCTCTGATCTCTAAACCTTTGGAAGATAAGATATTATAAGTTAAATGTAGGAAGAGATTGTGATAGAGGCAAACTGACAGCAGCATGAGTAACAGCTGACAGCGAAAGACCAAAAAGATAGCAATCTAAGCCTACAAAATGTGGGGATAAATATCTTTTCCATAAGGGATATTTGAAGCTTTGGCCTGACAAGCATTTCCCACCTGCCCCATCCCTTTTTTGGGTCACAGCACACTCATTTTCTTTTGTGGGATCCCCATCTCCTCTGTTCCCCATCCATGTGGTTCATGAGAGACTGTCATCCTCACCTCCCCAAACTCCAAGCTTCACCAATGTTCCAGAGACAGGACAGGCCTGGCCAATGGGGGAGCTCCCCCCCGAATCACATTGATTGTTTCAGCCATGAGCATGTGGCCCATGCCTCACCAATGAGGGTGACATGTAAGGTATTTACTAGAACCACTGGAAAAGAGCTTTTTGGCTAAGCTCCAGACTGTTGACAATTCTTGTGATGTACAAGGCAAGCCTTCCAGAGAACAAAATGACCACAGAACAAAATAAATAAATAAACCATGGTGGGGAAAAGAACTGATCTGACATGTGGGTGTCCGGGACAGAAAAATTAAAAAGTGAGAATATATGGCCCAAGTGCGGCTGACAAGATTTACTTTCTATGTGCCGCTGCTCCGGTATGCCAGTGGGTCCCTTCCCCCTCGCAGGGATAAGTCATGATTGGTTAGTATCAAATCTTTGGAACACCATTCCTTTTTGCCAGCTGTTGGTTTAGGGCTAAGCATGATTCATTTCTTGCCAGTGAAATTTGTGCACAAGGTTATTGAGGCCACTGGGTAAGATTTTCCTTCCTAATAAAAAGAGGCAAGGGGAAAATTCTCTTTTTTCTTCAAAGGCCCTTGTGTTTGTGTGTGTGTGGGGGGGGGGCACGCAGAGATGGAGACTGTGTTTCTTGGAACTCTAACAGCCATCATTTACCCATAAAAAAAAGTCAAAATTAGCTCATAGAAAGCAACCTAGATGCTGCTATCATTGGGCTACTGAACAAACCCTGTATCTACTTACTTCCAAACATCTTGTTGTATGAGAAAAGTAAACTTATATATTTTTAAGGCAATTTTGGCCAAATATCCTGTTACTTGCTGCCAAAAGCAGCCTAACCCGTGTAACAGATGACTCTGATGCAGAGCCAACTCTGCGAAGCTATGATAAGGAGTAACAATGAGCAAGGAACCTTTGGCTTACGCAGGCTCCCTAGCTTTTTGACATGGTGCAAAAAAATGATCACAACAAAGATGAATGATCACAACACTGCCTTTGTATTGATAATTCTCAAAAATTTTCAGAAAATAACATTTTAGTGCCAAGGGTTTTAGGATCATTCTTTTAGTCAACAGAGATTATTTAGATTGTAAGGTTATATAATTTCTCTCCCCAACTCTTACAACTTGAAGTGAATTTGTAATGTTTGAGCGATGAATAAAAAAAAATAGCTGAACTTACCACCATTTGATTGTTTTCTAAATTTCTACTCAAGTAACAAGCAAGGCAACAACAGAACACCATTATCATGGCTGCCTACAACTTTTTTTTTTTTGCTTTCTCTACTTGGCAAAATTCTACTAGTTACTCAAGATCTAATTTAAAAGTCACCCCAGTTAGTATTTCCCAAGTCCATGTAAACTAACTCTGTCCTTTTTATTTTCTGAGGACTCATTCATTCATTTATTCATTCATTTGACAAACATCTATTAAGCTCTTGCCAAGTTCTATCCCTTTTGCTGGAATTCAAAAGTAAACAGGCTGTAATCTAGTCATCAAGTAATAGCTCATTTTTTAAGCAACCACAATGAAGTGTGGTAACTTTCAATTTTAGGCACATCACTAGCAACCTCACCCCTTTACAATCTGTGAAGTTCATCAGACTTTTCCTGGGTGTCTATGGTGTGTAAGGCACCAAAAGCTACAAAGGTGACTGAGATGCTGTCTCTCTTCTTTAAGAGAGTGATAGAAACTAATATGTCTTCACCAAACTAGTTTCATCCTGCTGCCTGGGCATTTAGATAGTTGACATTTCCCAGCTTCCCTGCAGGTCAGTGTGGCGTGTGACTGAAGTCTGGCCAATGGGATGTGGGAATAAATAATGCCTGCTACTTCCATTCCTCACCTGTAAGAAACATATCATGCAACCCTCCACATACCTACTCTCTCTTTTCCTGACCATTACATGGAAACCAAAGTCTTAGGGGATGGCAGAGCCCTAATATACAAAGAGTTGGGTTCCTGCATCACTGAATTGAAGGCCACAGCTAAATACCATTACATGAGTGAAAAATAGGCTTTACCTGAGGGAGAGAGAAGCTTCCATTGCATTGTTACTGAGATTCTGGATTTCACCTGTTACAGCAGTTGGCGTTACCTTTAGGTAATCTACACTAATAAAAGAGAAACATGGTAATTGG